TCAGCTCACAATGTCTGTCATGAATCTCACAGGTAGACCATATCTAAGGCCAGGGCATCATGATTCATGCAAGCACTCACTGTTTCAGGTGGTACAGGTGGAGATGGAGGTGCTGGTGGGGCCGTGGAGGCGATGGTCATGGCACTCAGATCCAGGTCACTGGAGATTACACACGGTAGGTTGATGATATCCCACATTCACTACAATAACTCACATGCCAAGGATCTATGGCGCAACAAGCACAGAGTGTAAGTGTACTGAGCTCTGGACCTCAGGCCTCAGTGCTAATCTATTATAGTTGAAGAGAATATGGTGGTGACTGAGTGGATCTCCCCAATCAACTTCTTTCTTGAGCATCAGGCAATTTCTGAGACCCGGAAGAAAAATACTGGACTGGCTGTTGGAGCATCCAGAGTTCTTGAAATGGAAGTCAACCTCAGGAAGCATACTTTGGTGCACAGGGATACGTGAGTTAACAATATATATATGAACAGACTGTTGACATTTAAAACTAGCTGGCATGGGTAAAACAGTGCTAGTGTAAAGTATAATCTGCATCTATCTATATATAATGTTTGTTACTTTAGATCCAAAGTTGTAGATCATCTTCTACAGATTGGTATCAGATAAGGACCATGAGGCAGATGACTATTCCCTGTTTGATTATGGCCAATATATTTTCTTTCATGCCCAAGGCCCTGCAGAAACAATCCTTAAGACTGAGCTGCTTATGTGTATACAGCATATCATCTCTCATGATATGTATCAAGATGTGTGGAACTCCTGGGCACACCCTTGGCAGGGGCAGTGGTGGACTTTACGGTTTGAAAATCCCCAGTTGACAGGACTTTCAGTTGCTTTGTCTGGAGATCTGCTAGTGCTATCTGAGAACATTGCAAATACTGTAATAATTTATTCAATTCGGCGGCGAAAAACTGTGTGACATCGGGCGCCAAAATGAAAATTTCGGCGCTGCCTGGTAATCTGTGTGACCGCCGAAAAAAAATTGGCATATTCAGCGGCCCGGAGGGCCGCCGGAGAAATTTTGATGCTCTGATGGCCGTCTGACATTCGGCATCTGAATAATAAGTTGTGACACGCCGAAATATTTCGGCACCGGAGGTCCGGTGTGACGCGTGACCGCCGAATTGAATAAATTGATACAGTAATGCAAGTACACAAGAGATAGATATGATTTTTGCTGTTTTATTTGGCCATACCAAGATACTGACAGTCCTCTGGAGTAAAAACAACAAACATAGCAATATGTGTATTCACAATTATTATGGAACAGTTTTGCATGTAGCTGTGCTGTGCAGTCAGATGGATATTGTTCAATTCTTATTAGGAGGAGTGTGCCAGTGAATAAAAATTGCTGGCAATTTTGAAACAGCTCTTCAGGCTGCTGCCTGGGTGGGATCCACAGAAATTGTTCAGCTTTTAATCAGCTCGGGTGCACAGATAAATCTGGTCTCTGGCACATATGGAACAGCTCTTCACATATGGGAGAACTAGAAACTGCTCATTTGCTGATTAGCTTAGGCGCACAGATTGACTTAGTTTCTGGGAAATATGGGACAGCTCTCCAGGCTGCTGCAGTAAAGGGAGAGACCGAAATTGTTCAGCTGCTCATCAGCTCAGGGGCACAGATTAACTTGGTTTCTGGTAAATATGGGACAGCTCTTCAGGCTGCTGTACGGGTAGATGCAATAGAAACTGCCCAGCTATTGATTAGCTTGGGTGCACACACAGACTTTTATACTCTACCTAGATATGAATAATAATTAGCAATGGCCGGCCAGGGTTGGTTCGGGATTTCGGTTCACTGAACGTGCGTTCAGTGAGATTTTTTCTTGCACTTAGGGATGAGCACAGGTGACTCTCCTTGGACCCAGACCTGCATAGCGTGGTTGGTCACATACTGAATGACAAGCCCGACAAATGATTGCATGTTTGGTGCAGTCTATTCATCGAGTATGGCATGGAGCATCCCGGTCTTGGTCTTATTCTACAGAGCATTAAGAGTATCAGATAGACAAAATTTGTTGATCACACACCTTGAAAAGTACCTTTATGACTGGGTTCGTGAGCTCGAAGATGTACTTTAGGCTCATCTGACTCCTCCTATATTCTAAGTCCTTCCTGCCATTGTCCTTACTGCTATCAGACTTGCTGAACATATCTGCAAAATTTCATGCACAGCTTTCCTTTGGTCTGTGCATGTACTTAACAAGCAGCTCATTCACTCAGGATCACTAGTAAAAACATGGCTACTAGTGAAGGGCCTTCCTCATAAATCCTGAGGGAGGGCCCAGGGATCACAAATTTCACACTTTTAAAAAAAGAAAACCATTTTATTCATATTTAGGTGTTAGCTCATGGTATTGATGATAGGATTGATGATATCAAGATATATTGATCAATGTGGAATGATTTTGGTTTACATTAGTACCATTGATGGCTATGTCAGGATACATCAATTTTAGCCTAATTAGGATGTATACCTTTGCACTAGATTGATTTGCCTTTCCATATCTGGTAATAGCTTAGTCATAGCTGTCAAACACATTGAGATATTTACAATTCATTGAATATCACATTTCAGAAAGGCCCTCCACCAGTAGTCACGATTTTACTAGTAAAACTGGGTGCACATCCTATAACACGGTGCTTATTGATTGTATCCTATAGGGCTGATTTACATGGGAATGCCACCCTCTGAGGACATATTATGTGAGAAAGTAGGATCAGCGGCAGATAGATGTCTTTCCTTTTTAGGCAACTGGAGAATGTGCAATAAGGAACAAGTAGATATATTTTTCTGGATTTTTTCATTTCCATTATTACCCTAGCCTCTTAGGAAATATAAGAATCCAATCTTTTGAGCAACCTCTCCAAGGACTCACAGTACCCTAGGGGAAGTCCAGGCTACCTCTGAGCAACTGTTCTTGTGACCGTGACCGTGATGCAAAGCTGGGAGGCAGAGGCAGAGTGGTGCACTGGTGTGGAGCAAGGAGAGAAGAAGTCTGTTCTAGCCTAAATGCTGGGAGTGTCAGTAGATCATCTTTCATAAGTAGGGAAAAATAAGTAACTCTGTTGAGGCTGAATGAGGCACAAAAAGTAATGGTTTTGGTTTCTTTTTCTCACCTGTACACGAGGGGGTTTTTTTTTTTTTTGAAAAAGCCTTCTCATTACCATGGTTAATATTATAAATATTTTTTAAAAAATACCTCTAATTCATTGCCCCTGCCAAAAGGCAGGTTTTATATAGGGAAATGAGAGATTAAAAAAAGGTTTAAAAAAGTTGAAAGGCATGTCAGGGTAGGCAGTGTGGTAGTTATAAGGCCAAGAAAGATACGGAGTTTGACGGTGTGGATTTTATTAAAATGAGGGGAGAACTTGTAAATCACTGATGTTTTTTTTTAAAAAAAAAATGTTAATATGCTAATTCCAAGGGATCTTTTTTTAAAAAAAACCCCCTATACACCTGTTCTTCTATCTTGAAACAAAATATATTATGTATTTCTTTTACTAGAAAATATGAATTTAAATAGATAATTTTAATTCATAAAAGACACCTTTGAATTAGCACAGAAATATCATATTTCTTCATGCCTATTAAGCCTGACAGAAAGCTAATCTTTTAGTCAAACTCAAAGGTATATAGATGTCCTTTCCCCTTTTGGTCCAACTGCATTCTGAAATAGCTATTAGCTCCAGACAGTATCGGTTGGACTCGTGGGCAATCACAAAGATGTTCTTTGTGATAGTCCAAAAGAGGCACAGAAAGACAATCTTTGTGAATGTCTTTGTGTGTCATTGAAAGTTGTTCTTTGTGCAACACAGAAAGGCACATTAAAAGCCCTCATTTCAATTGGCCTTTTTGCAACAGCACAAAGATCACAAATTCAATTTGTTATAGACAGAAAGTTGGACAGAATGGCAGTCTTTCAATTGCTCTTTCATTGTGATGAAAAGAGTGTGTTTCTCTGGTACTTAAGGATGGATGAAAAGAAATCATTTTGGCTCCTGTTTTTATATCTTATTTCTTTTAGAAGGAAATATATATTAAAAGATGATATTTGTGTTCATGTTTCTATGGGAAAAGAAAGGTTTGAATTTACTGTGTGATGGTTTAACTCTTGGACCTGTTTGACATTTCCTCACTCATCTTAGCAATCCGGTCTCACTTGGGTCGACTCCATCCTGCCACTGGTGTCCCATAAAAACGAATCACGAGATCAGGCCCAACTCGCCTGTTTTTACAGAGAAAAAACAAAACAAAACGTGGTCCGTTGATGTGGGATCATGATTCAGGAGAAAATTCTTATATGCTCACTTAATATACACAAGGGGGGTTCAAGATCCGAATCACGGATATAGGGTCGGAAAGTTTTTTTCCGACCCTCCGGGGACCCCCCCCTCCCCGCCTCCTACCATATAGGGTAATATGTTCCCACGATTAGCATCATGTGACCACTGATGCAATCAAAAATTGGCATAAAAAATTTAATCTTTATGAAACTTTTTGTTTTCAAAAAAATTTATATATTTGTATATGTATGTGTGTAGGTATCTATATACCTGGAACCCTTAAATACACATGCCAGGAGCAATCCGAGTGCCTGGTTACAACCAGGCCATTTGGCAAAACGTTACACCTACGGGTGATCACTGTTCAATATGTTCACCTCTCATCCATTACCTGATGATGGGCCTGTGATAGGGTGTACTATTTAGGCTCATGGGCCTGAAAGTATATAGATATAAGTATGGGGGTTGTGAACTATGAAAATGAGAGTGTATACACTATATTTTCAGTGTCTTTACACCCATATAAGGCCCAAATCTTTTATATATAAAAAGTTTCTTTTACCCCCCGGGGACCCCCCCCCTCCCCCCTACTCCATGTGCCTGATAAGGATCTTGAACCCCCCTTGAATATACACACACGCGCGTGCTGGTACTAGGAGCATGAGGATATCAGTAGGCGGAGGCGCTTACGCCGTCTACAATTCCCGATAAGCGCGCACCGCTGGCTGGCGCGGGGCCACGCACCTTGATCGGCCCGCCGGGGTTGATGCACAGGCTGATGCTCGGCGACGGCGCGGGTGCGTACTGGCGCCGCGCGCCGGGGACGGACTGCGTCACCTGCACGGTGCCGCTCGACACGCCGCCAGGCACGGTCACCGTGGATTTGTTCTGTATGTCATGAGCCCGCGCCACGCGCGTGTGGTCGAGGAAGGAAGGTGGACCGTGGGACGCACGATGATGGGGCCGCCGGGGTTGACGCAGATGGGGATGGTCGTGTGGGGATGGTGGTGCTTGCCAGCCTAATTAAGGACATCAGCATGAGGAAAGGCGGGTGGGCGGATTGGGTGCACCTCGTCGGGGATCGGCGAGGCGCAGACGGCGGAGAGCAGGAGGGCGCTGGCGGAGAGGAGGAAGAGCTTCATGGTGCTGAAGTTCGCTGGCGATGAGACGCTGACGGCCCGCCTTTTATTCTCTTTCAGAAGAGCAAGGATCTTGGGCGGGTAGCAGAATTGGGAGGGCGGGAGGACTAGGTGGGGTGGCAAGTCAAAGGCGGTAGTTTCAGCGTGAGGGATGCGGGTAGATTGCGCCAGGTTGCCTAAAGATTCTTGCTTGTGCCGGGATTCCGCACAAACTCGAGTAATTCTTCATGGTGAGCGGCCGGGGACATGGAGGATTGCTGCCCTGCGGGCCCGCCGGCAGATCCGAGCCCGCGTTGACGCTCGCAGCGGCGACATCGACACCGACATGTGCGTTCAGGACAAGATGTATATCGGTCGCGCACGCTCCATAATTAACGCCAAAACGAGCCGAAAATCGGACCGATTTGCGCGATTCGCCCAGGATCATTACATCATCGCATCACATCACTCCCACAGCCACGTCACACACACCGCCTTCCCTTCCCATCTCGCCGTCTCCACCCACCCACTTACCCCGCGCCCCGCCCCGCCCCGCCGTCCGACGAACCCCGAACCCACGCCAGCATGACCGACCGTGTGCGCGAGGTGCATTTCCCACTTACGCTTCCCCGCCAGCGCTGACGGGCGCGATCAGAAACTTACACAGCTGCGCAACGAGGTGGATAACGCCATCGCGCGCGCGGAGGACGCGGAGGCGAAGAACAAGGCGCTCACGCAGGAGCTGCTCGAGCGCGAGAACGAGATCAAGTCGCTCACTGTCAGACTGGAGGACGCAGAGGCCAGGCTCGAGGCGAACGAGGCGGACCTCAAGGAGAAGACGGACAAGTGCGTTCCTGTGTGTTTGGATCTTTGCGCTGTAATTAACCGGTGGAATAGAGTAAGGAACCTGGATGTCCGGACAGAACAGGCGGAGCGCGCCGTCCTCGCGGCAGAGGCGGAAAGGGACAAGTGGGAGGCGAAATACGAGGTGCGTCGCTGCTGCTGCCGCGTGAGATGGCGGGCTGACGGTACCGCAGGAGTCGGAGAAGAAGTTCCGCGACGTCAAGGCCGAGCTCGCCGACCTGGAGCGCCAGATGGAGGGCTTGTAGACGACCCGCCTGAATGTATTTTTGTCCCCCGTCTGCATACCCCGTGTCCGATCTCCGCGATGCCGTCTGTTCTCGACTGCGCAGGCCACTGCCATCCCCGCTCCTGGTCGATTCGCCTTTTACCCGCAGTGTTGTAGCCTTTAGGCCGGTCCTCGGGCTCTTGTGTCAGTCTGCGGGTATTCTGGGACAAAATGTCGACTGCGCACGCCACTTCCTCATCCCCGCTCTTCAATATTGTCGCCTGTCGATCAACAGACATCAGCGGCGTTTGGGCGCCGGTGTGGTCCTTTTCATTGTCCATCTCTGTGCATCATGGGGCTTGCATCGCGTCGCCATGACGGACTGAGCGATCAGAGTGCCCGTTTCCTCCGCCGGCTGCTGACCACGGGAGGCGGTGCTCCGCCGTTTGTGACGATGCAAAGAGGATGCGCGCGGGGTATCCATGTTCGACATAGAGCGTTACTGATTCTGCGACCCCACAAATACAGTCACCCGATCAGGGGTGTAAACGAGTGCACCTCTAAGAGGGGCATTGGGCATCTCGGCGACCTTGAATTCCACGCCTCCATCGACATCGATGATGCGACTAACGCAACCACCCCCCGTGTTTCTCCAGCTTGGGCGTGGGGATCGCAATCCGTTTCACATCTCGGCGTCCTTGAATTCAACACGCCCGACCGGCGGCCGCCGATGCGCTGCAACGCACCGTTACCACCCTCCAGCGTCGGGGGGATCGTGATGCGTATGCATTTCGCCACGCGAGCTCACACCCACGCTCGGCCGATCCGTGTTAATGTATGCCCTGGGAACTTGGAAGGCGCGAATGCAAAACTCAATGCAGAAGGGCGCGAATGCAGAAGTCAATCACGGCCATTGGGTCGTTAGTAACTCGTTACTTATATGTGCTGGCTCCGCGGGCGTGATATTATATATGGCAGACAGCCCGGCCCCGTTGGGACGCATTCTTCTCTATCCCCTTCAGCTATGGCGGGACGCTTCGCCACCGCTGCTCCCGACCGCGACTTTGAGTCTGAGCGCCCGCCGCCGCGCCGCAAGACGATGATGGCGTGCCTCAAGTGCCGCCAGCGCAAGACCCGGGTGCGCCTTCTTCCCTCCCTCCCGTCCCCTCCTTGCTTACAAAAGCCCACATTACACACAGTGCATAACCTTCGAGCAGCCGCCTAAGTCCGCATGTGCGTACTGCGCCAGGCGCAAGCTGCGCTGCGTGTACACCTCCGCGCCGCCGGAGACGGAGCTGGAGCCGGGGGAGGGGCAGGGGGATATCACGCGGGAGTCGGACGCAGGGCCGTCGTCCGGTTCGAATTGTGAAAGTGGCCCGGGAGGCAGTCCGAGTCAGTCGGTCGGGTCGCGTGGCCACGCGCCACCGCCACCGGCGGCCGACGCGCCCCGGGCCAGCGACGCGGCACACGCGTATCGCTCCCCCCTTCCCGCCGCCCTCCACTGGCCCGCGCCCGACCGCCCCCGCCCGCGGCGCAGCTCCGACCCGCCCGTGTGGTCCGCCCGGCCCCGGGCCGCGTGGGCGCCCAGCGCGAGCGAGACGGCGTACCCCGCGCCGGTCGTCGGTGCGCCTTTCCTCAGCCATACACCCATTCGTCCACTAACTATTACTACGGCTCTAGAGCTCGACGAGTACTATTCACTCTCGGCGCCCGCGTCCGCGGAGGCGTCCCTCGCCGCCGGTGCGCTCCCCGGGCGCGGGGCCGGGGTACACAGCGACGCCGCGTTCGACGTGGACGAGTATATGCGCGAGTTCCTCGGCGACGACCGTGGCGACGGCCCGCACGCGTACGCGTACGCGGCGTGAGCGCGGAGAGCGGAGAGCGGCTCGGTATACCCTGGATACGGCATGTATTACTAGCATTATTCTGTTTCGTTTAAATCTGCATTCACTTCCCCTCGTGTGATAAATCCTCATTGAGTATATTTCCCAGCAAAATGGCGATGCGGCATGCACCGCCACTGTCATCACCACGTCATGTCACTCAGAGGAAGGCGAAAAGCTGGAGATTTCTTTCTTGCCCGAGTAAATCGCTGCAACTATCACACCGGATTTGGTAAAATATCCCTTGAAGTAGAAACTGTTCTAGATTCTGGTAGAATCTAGAACCAAATCAACCTGTGTAGATTTGCCCAGAATATACTTTTTGGAAACTGAGATTGATTTTGGTCAAATATATACTAGTTTTAGCAAGTCTGAAGTGAAAACTATCTATGGCACTGAAATTATGCCTGAAATGGTTCATATCTGCGCGCATATATTTGGTCATGATATCACGCGCATCAAATGTGGCGAAACTATCAGTGAAATAAAGGATTTCACTGACAGTTTCAGCACGGATGATACAAAGGAAATCAGCAGTGGAGAAATGCACATAGATTCTCTTTGTTTCTATTTGCATTTCTCCACTGCCTGAAACTGTAGGTTTACAGTACAATGAAATCAATGTACCTCAAATACAGCTTTTCTGGGGACATATTTTACTCTGGTTGGTGACAAGTTTATACTTGATAACAACTTTTCGGGAGACATGTTCAACTTCTGCAAGTGCAACCTTTCTGACTGTTGACAACTCATAATAAGCAGACAACTTTTCCAGCAACATCTGTAACTGTCTTGAATAAAACTTGGTTTTTCATTTTGAGTACAACTTTTTCGAGTGCGACTTTCTTTCTGAGGTACAACTTTTTTTAAGTGCCACTTCAACCTAGACTGGAACAACTTTGTAAATCACAACTTTGCAAGATACATATTGCCAAAGCCTCTGGCACAACTTTTCTGGGCCTACATGCAACTTTTTCAGATAAGGTACAACTTCAGTTACTCCATCACTTGCCATCAGCGGCCATCAAAGGTGATCATAAAGGCAGTGGTAGAGCAAAGCATATTTAATGTGTTTATCTGATCCGCTGATGATATCAGTGATGGCTGGCCAAAAAAGTCCAGGTTGCATTCAAATGAACTGCATACAGAAATAAAGTTCTCCTAGGAAAAGTTGTCCAACTGGCTAGTTGTATGCCCAAAAAGTTGTACTCAGGAAAAGTTGCATTTTGAAAAGTTGTATGCAATGACAGGTTGTCTTTGCCCAAGTTGGACTTGTCACAGCTAGACTCAAGTTGCCTTACCCATGAAAAAGTTGCACCTGAATTAGAGCCAAAGATGTCTTATTAGAAGTTGTAGTTGTCTTTGGCCAAATGAAAACTTGTTCCTAAGAAAGTTGTCATTCTGGCAGTTGTACATGGTTCTAAGGAAGTTGTATCCCCCGAAAGTTATATATGCTCTCAAACAAGTTGTCTCATATTGGAAAGTTGTACTCAGGCAAGTTGTACATGTTATCAGTAAAGTTGTATCTGACAAATATGTAGTTGTAGTCAATATAAATTTGTACCATAGTTTTAGTTGTATTTTATGGGCGGTATACTGTATCAAAAGTTTTTTACAACTTTCAACTCTTTTTTTCAGACTTTTTATGCACAACTTCAAGCAATGTGTTTTTGGCCAAAACAACTCTTAGAGGGATTAATACGTGATTTATGACAACATCTTTCATTTTCTTAACTACAATCTTAACTTTTCATATAGCAACTTCCTTCCAGAGCAACTACAACTTTGAATTTGTTGGTTGCAGGTTTTCAATCTGCAGAACAACTTCAAAGTGATTGGCTGCAAAATCTTCTGCTATAACTACAACTTTCATATCGTATATTGCACTTAAGCCAAATCTTATATTAGTGAAGAAAGTCATTTATCCTCCATATGTCTTATTACAACAATTAAAAGCCAGGGTACTTTAGTTGTTATACCATCAAGAATTAATTCCTACAGACTAAGACAGATTAAAGAGGTATAAGGGTGTACCTACTGGATAGTTGACTATATACTATATTCCTACACAAAGAGTGATTGTTACTCTGAGGAGTATGCCTGCATCATTTGGCATGCCAGTCCAGTGGGATTGTCTAGATAACTGCCTGGCAGTAGCAGTGATTGGAACAGGAGGTTTATCTGACACTTTCAGAAAGGGCTGGCAGAAATTTGTTATATTTTCTGACTATACCAGATTACTAGCTAACTGAAACATACATACAACCAGAGAAAATTGACCTTGTATAGGCCTTGTACTTGCTTCTAAATAGGCTGATCTTTTATTGACTCCCAGCAGATTCCAGCTCATGATTGAAATAAATTTGATGATCTGATTGAACTCTTATATTATATAAATACATAAAAAAAACTTCCTACCAGAAATTCCTAGCTTCTATTTACATCAGACTCAAGTTTAAACAAAGTTGCACCAGGCTTGTTGGAAGTTGCAGGATAAGAGATTGCATGTTGCACATGCATCTCTAAAGTTGTAAGTTGCATGTCCAAAGTTGCAATCAGGAGTTGAAAGTTGCAAGTTGTTCCTGTCAAGTTGCTGCAGAGAGTAATAGTTGTCAGCTATGGGCAGTATATTGTATCATAAGTTTTGTTACAACTTTAGCCAAAATCGGTCAAATTTTAGGTACAACTTTTGTTTCACCCAGATTTTATTGATACAACTTGTTTTTCCACGCACAACTTGCAACTTTTAGTGCACAACTTGATGACTGGCAACTATTGGTCTCTTCAGCAACCTGACTGGAACAAGTTGCAACTTTGAAGTCCCCTGTTGCAACTTTTGACATGCAACTTACAACTTCAAACATGCATGTGCAACTTTCAGCTCAGCATGCACAACTTTCAACTCAACATCTGCAACTTGCAACATTCTTTGGGCAACTTGCAACTTGCAACTTCTCATGATCAACTTTTTTTACTTAATTCTGATCTCAGCAGAGATTGGAAATTTCTGAAGAGAGTTGTTGGGTTGATATACCATTATATTTCATTTTCTCATCAAATTTGATTTCATCATCAAAGATCACCAGAGTTTTGAAGTCTTAAGCCCACAACAATTCATGCTCCATATTGACCACATCTTGTTACTTCATTCCTATTCCTATTTACCAACTTCACTGGAAAGAATAATAAACGTTATTGTTTTTTTTTCCTCCTGAACCATATATAGTTAAGCTCCAAGATCACACACCAGGACACCTTGAGTCCTGTGTATGCCAAAGAATTTTTCATTTTGGGCCCAAGTGTTGCTCAAACATGTCAGTGAGACATTATTTCTTGTTTTTATCCCATAGAACAGTGATCTAATCGAAATTTTTGTAATATGATGTAGCTAAAACAACTGCTTGGCAATAGGTATCTATTCCATGATTTCCATCCTCCTGTTCAAATTTGAAATCTCCTAACACTTCACACATTTCAGCAATCTCAGCTGCATTGTTCACAAATACACCAGCGTCGCTTTCTGCATTGGCAGTTGGATACTCGGAGTAGTCTGTTGCCAATGGTTCTCCCACAAAATCATCAGCAGTTGCCAGTTGGGGTAGTAAGGCCCTCACCATCAACCCCATAATCAGGTGAAACATCTGCAATATCATCGCCGGGATCACCAGTCCAATATCCAAGGCGGATGGCGTTCTGACGGCTAAGCTCGAAAATGGCAGTAGGGGTCTTTTCCCTTTCGGTGCGGAGTTTGTGATGATTCCATGAGTCACGGGCACGGTCAAGCGCAGCTTGAATGCGAGGCTGATACACCAGAAAGAGGCATACTCGTTCGATTGCGTTGTCCATATGAAGGAGTTGAGACTCTTCAAGATGCTGAAATATCTCACGGAAGTACTGAAGAGCATCCTTTCGAATGTCGCGCCAAGACCGCTCGATTCGAATATTCTGGAGGGATCTGTAGAATAGTTAGGAAAAGATAGGATGTTGAGGCAGGAAGCGTACAGTCCTCTCAAGTATGCCATATGGGCCTCTCCCCAATGCCCGATCATCATTCGTTCCACCCCATTGTTCTCCTTCCCAAAATCCCCCCGAGCTCGACTTGGCCATCCATAAATAGCAACTGCACGTCGGAAAATCTGCTCAACAGTCGCCGATTTCTTGTTGTCGCAGCAAACAAGATATATGAACAGCCTCGAGAAACCGTCGATACACCCATGGATATAGAAACCCCATGGCTTGAGTTTCTCATTTCCGTCGTGGTGCCAAAGAGCATTAGCGCCACGAACACGATAGACGCGGCGCTTGATGACCCCATACCAGCTACGGTAGCTCTCAGCATGAGATAGAAGATAAAAAATGACTCTCACCGCATGAACGTCCCGATGGGATCAACACGGTCGAAGACTTTCTTTAACCCGGGCAAGTCCAAGATGAAACCCATTTGCCTCTAGATGACCCAGTGCGATCTTCGCTCCAGAGAATGGATGCTGGAAGGAGAACTCGGCAACCAGCTCATCAAGTTCGGTATCAGTTAGTGTGGAATGCATTGGTCGACTTGGCGATAGGCCAGCTTACTGAAGGTGTCGGTACATGGTGACTCTGGAGACACCAAAGGCATGCGAGACGTCCTCCCATGAGTTTCCAAGGTCATGGAGTCGAAGAGCGTCCTCAAGGTCGAGTACATACCGGGGACGACCGCCTCCGGAGGGCTCAGTCTGTGTGCCAAGATTCTGCGGAGGAGGTGGAGTGACTAGAAACTCGGATAATGGTCGGATAAGATTGTCCACCAGAGACAAGAGGTCTTCAACTTCGGTTCTATCAAGCCACGGGTCATTCGACTGCTGCAGAACTCGACGAGCAGCTGTTAATTGACGCAGAGAACGCTCGACGGCAAAGCTCTCCACATTGGGAAGGGATTCGAGTACAAAGCGAGCTTCTCGAACCATTTGGTCAGCATGGATAAGAAAGTTGCCAAAGTTCTGGCCAGCATGAGGATCAGTGTCCGTCATAATGACCACTGGAAGCACCAGATGAGCGTTGGAAGCAAGTCGTGGCCGTCGGCGACCTGTCAATCAGTTAGTCACGGAAGTCACATCGATATCCTCACCATACTCCACCACGAAGTTAGCCTTCCTCCGCCACATGCGCCGTATGTCAACCAGAACTCCATGCTCAATTTGCTCTGGACATAAAAGGTGGATGGAGCCAGTGAGTACGGCGAAACCAGAGTCGTGAAAAATATGCTGACGTGGCAGAGGCATCGGCCTAACTGGGGCAAATTTGCGTACTCAAGTAGGCACTTCGGAGTCGTCCACGGTGTCCATACGCAAAATGACGACCGAATTGAGAGTGAAGCTTACGGGATTGATACATGCAGAAGCAGACGGCGGGACAAACGGACCTTCCTGACCGCGGAATTTAGGTGCGTCATTGTCCTCTGAGGCGGACCTCACTGACCTGCATGCAGGTTTTGATATATGAGGCATTGCCAGTGTCATGTTGGACGGAAGTATATTGTTTCCATTGCTACGAGACACCTAGGCCCTCAATATACGTCCTTTATACTCCAATTTCCCCCTCTTGTGCCATAATGGAGGCGCTTCCAAGCAACAGCGTCGCGACGGTCAGGCATCTTATTAACTTAATCGCTCGAGGGCACCCGCCACTTGTTTTCTTCTTCCTCTCTACCATGCCCCCCACTTGGGATGATTTTGGCGAGTGCCGCAAATGCAGCGACTGCGGCTACTTTTTCCTCGCCAACAGTGACAACAACGATATCCGCCAGGCACTCGGACAACTCTGTGTTTGTGGCCATCTTGGTAACCAGCACATTTGGCTGAAAAAACCCGAGGTATGGTCCCAGTGCGCTATAATCCCACAAGCCAACATTATTCTAGGTCACTTCAGCAGCTCAAGCGACTCCTGCAGTAAGTACTTCCCATTTCCACCCAAAAACCCTGTTACTCACGCATCTCCCAGCCAGGCGTTCCTCCGACGACAGCAAATATGTCTGAAAACACAGCCAGAAACACGGCCCCGGCTCCATCCGATGCAACGAAGGTGACGAAGGACTGTCTCTTGTCCTGCCACTCTGATCATTGGTAGACGTCATTCATCGATAGTGCCAACTTGAAGCGCCGCGAGGCTCGTCAGGCTGAGGCAGCAGGGTACTTTTTTGAGCCCACAGCAAAGACCCAACAGGCATTCCTCAACAAGACGACGCTCGACAAACGCAAGCGCATTTTCGTTGGCAAAACCGATGCAAACACGGCTGCAAAGAGCTCCAGCACAAAGGCGACCGTGTTCACGGGCGTTTTGATCCACGCAACGGCGGAGGTTCACAGTTCCGAAGGTTTCGCTCATCCAGGTGAAGCTATGTATGACGTCCTCTGTGCTACCCTCGTCTTCCATCTTATGTCCCTCAGGATTCGTTCGCTTTTCGCCTCTGGCCATGTCAAGCCGCTCACGGTTCCCGTTGATGCGGCCTCTGGGGATTTGAACGCCATCTTTCAAGCAGCTTTCAATGCTCTTCCATCGATCATCACGGGCCAGGCTAGCTTGTACGGTGCTGTTCTCCTCGCAAAAGTCTCTCAAGGGCGCGGAGCCCACGGGCGCTGGCGTCCTATCAAGTCTGTTGCTGAAACTGCATTCACCGACTGGAAATGGTGCGTGTCATTAAATATTCGTGTCTATTCTTACCTGGTGCGCAGGGCCTCTGACACTCAACACCGCCAAGCTCGGGAGTTTCGCAATATGGTCTATTTCGCACTCTCGAGCTGGTCGGCGGACTTGATCCTCTCGATGCCGTTTTCTTCGACCAAGGCTGCAGACTACGAAGATGACTCTGATGACGATATTGACATGCCGGAGGCTATGGTATTTCTTTTTTCCACAACTATTGGTTGTCCTCTCATGCACGCTGTCTAGCAAACCCCTCACTCATCGTCGTCAATTCATGCCGAAGTGAGCACGACTGATTCTCCATATGCACCTGCAGCCTGCTAAAATTCTCAGGTTCCCATCAGCGTTGCGACTTCAGCTGCACTGCTTCAAGTGCGACGCCTTGTCCACAACCTCACTCCTCAGGCCGACTCATTCTGGGTAAGCAACAGATACTTCCTCGCCGCGCAGAATGTCGAGTGCGGGGGTAGATGACGAGGAATCGGACAACCTGCATGAGCCGTAAATTTCTTGTACCTATCGTATCTTGAATCAAGTCTCATGGCCATGGGTCTGGGTCAGTGGCAAGCCAACCTATGGTTGGATATGGGCATCAATGATGAGATTGTCAGCCAGGATGTCCAGATGCAGTACGCGGCGCAGGAGGATGAGTCAGACTCGGGGGAGGAAGATGAAGGTGATGAGGCCTATGATGCATATATTTCGAACTTGGTTTATCAGCTAGGGGCAGTGGGTATTGATGATGATGGTGATGCGTAGAGTTGACGAAGCATTACTAGATTTTCCTTTTGTGGCAACATACCTTCCTTATATAGTAACAATTAGATTTATATAGTAAACCTCAGAAACTCCATGTCTATAAGTAGATGATACTTAGTACTGAGTTTATGTGGTTAATATTCAGAAAATATAGCAGCATAAAGCCTATATTGCAGCGCACACTCCCTAGTCAATATTGGGTCCCAAGTCCCAGAAATATAGCATTATAGCAGTTTTATTTGTAATTTACTGCAGCATAGGTCTTTTGAGGTCATCCATTCTAATTAGAAGTGTGTAGGTGGGATTAACAGGTGACAGTATCAGTAGTAGCTTATATACTTGTAATTGTAAGTCTTACTTGACCATTACTCTCATGTTAAGCAGATGTTGTGTGAATGTATGCACATGTTTGGCATCAGCTTTAGCAATTTATTTACTCCACATTTCCACTTTTGGGACCACTCCTAATTTGGTAAGAAAAGCTGTAAAGTCTAATTGGGACACAAAGCTGTAAAATCAAGACTTTACATCAAGTACCATAAACAAGTCCAATCTAAACTATACATAGTTCTATAACAATAACAACAATACTATATCAGTAGCCTTACAACACTTAGTAAAAAACACTAGTAATTACTAGTATACTTTCCTTTCAGTACTGATACTTTACTTGAAAACAACCTAAGGATCCACCTATTCCTCCAGGTGTAAAGCTTAGGTAGAAAGTGGCCTATTTAGGTGGGTTTTCCACTACCCCCATAGGTTGATTTACCAGCCTAGAAAACAACCTATATAGGTGGTATGCCAACCTGATATAGGTAGGATCTCAACCTGATATAGGTGGTTCCATAGAGCGAAGGGCCGTCTGTGCAGATACGTCGCCAGCAGGGGCTTTGCGGCTGCATGCAGGTCGAATGTTGCGCCAACATCGTTCGGATTCTGATTCGTTCGTGTCTGACCACCAGCTCTGCACGCTGTGGACACTAGGGAAAGAGGGTGGGCGTGTGAGTGGGGGCATAACAGCCTGCAGCTGTGCGCCAGTCCTATGCGGCCGAGTTATTATCTATAGAGTGCTGTATCACAACAAATACATCTGAACAGCACACCGCCGATTGAAATAGGGCTTCCCACGGATGCGGGAAGACGGATGTACCACGGTGCGGAATGGGATCTCACTGCCACCAAGCTCATCAGCTGATAGGCTGAAGACGATTCACAGCGGGCGGCCTACCAGTGCCAAGATAACCAGAAAACTCGTATTTCTACTGCTACATGTATTTCCCCAACAAATCTAGAACCAGGCTCCAGAAGAGGGGCACAAGCAAATAATCCACCAAGAAGACCCACACAGGCATAAACCAGGGTTTCTCTCTATCCAGCAAGCCGTCCAGCGCCTCCTCGCGCATCTCCTCCACGGCTTGCATCCGCTCGCGCATCTTTACCCTCGCCGCCATCATGATGTCCTCACCTGCTTCCCCGAGCACTGTGATCCCCGCATCGTTGCATTCGTCGTCAAGGAGCATCTCCGTGACGGCGATATAGCTCGGGCCGCCGCACTGATGGCCGGCGCCGAGCCCGTTGGGGAGGAACCACATCTCGGGGTCGGCGCGCACCCAATCCCAGCCGTTGCGCAGCCGCACATGATCCAGCGTCACACACAGTCGCCCCCAGTGCTGCACGGTCGCGAGTTCCGCGAGCAGCGCGGGCCGCAGTGTCGCGAGCGGGACATCTTTGTTGGGGAGCGGCTCGGCGGGGAACATGCCGAGCAGGTCCAGGGAGGCGAGACAGTTCAACAACGGGAGCGACGGCGCAACGGACGCGAGAAGAGTCTGTAGAATGGGTTAAAAAATGTGAGTCGGCAGGCAGAGCCGGAGACCCGCCGTGTATTCGTCGTCCGACAAGCCACCTTGATCGAGGGCCACACAGCGGACGGTTGGCGTGTGGGCGGCGAGAGCGGGTAAGAAGGCCGTGTCACGGCCGGCGCTGACCTCATAATGGATGCTGCACGACACCAACTTAGTCGAGTCCAGGCTTTGTAGCGCGGCTTTCGTCAGGGACACGTCCTTGCTCCTATCGTAGCTCAGGAATACAACGTGCACCAGCGGAGAATCGCGCAGCCACAGCACTGCGAGCAGCGGCGGCCCAGTGAACGCCTCTAGGCGGGGAAGGGAAAGTGTTTTCAGCGACTCTTCGCCGGCGCGCCGTCTAGCCAGAAGCTTGTCGCTGCTGTGGACGCGGAGGCAGCGCAGAGACAGCGCGTGCTTCTCGACAAAGTCGCCCACCTCGGGCCCAAAGTACGGAAGCGCGCAAGCCTGCAGTGCGTGGAAGTGTGCGCCACTCAACACGACCAGAAGCATGAAATGCACCGATTCTTCACAACGAAGCCTCTGCATGTTCACGAGGTTCTTGATAGCGCGGGTTACCAGGTCGCCCTCCGCAACAACGGGTGCAAACTCAGGGGAGGTGATATTGAATTGGACGCTGAGCGGCGTGTTAATTCGCGATGCTTGAAAGCCACAGTCACGCACACGTGCAGCTGCTTCACCAATGCACCATAGTGGGGACTGTTTCCGAGCGTCTTGAGCAAGCGTAGCGTCCGAGCCGCATTCGTGGTGTCGATGTCGATGGAGCGGTAGAGCGGCGCCTGGGCGACGGCAAGCAAGCGCTTGCATCCGAGAGAGAGCGAGTACAAGCTAGCGAGGGG